TCTTAGACACTCAGACACACCAATACAATCACAACATCAGGTCAACGTACAACACTGATAAGACTATCACAGAGTTACAGCTCAGTACAGGTGTGATATTGATATGTGGGACAAGGTAGTGTTGGGACAATACAAGGTCATCTTAGACACTCAGACACACCAATACAATCACAACATTAGGTTAACGTACAACACTGATAAGACTGCCACAGAGTTACAGCTCAGTACAGGTGTGATATTGATATGTGGGACAAGGTAGTGTTGGGACAATACAAGGTCATCTTAGACACTCAGACACACCAATACAATCACAACATCAGGTCAACTTACAACACTGATAAGACTACCACAGAGTTACAGCTCAGTACAGGTGTGATATTGATATGTGGGACAAGGTAGTGTTGGGACAATACAAGGTCATCTCAGACACACCAAATACAATCACAACATTAGGTCAACGTACAACACTGACGTACAACGTACAACTGATAAGACTGCCACAGAGTTACAGATAATTACAGTTGTGATATTGATATGTGGGACAAGGTAGTGTTGGGCAATACAAGGTCATCTCAGACACACCAACACAATCACAACATTAGGTCAACGTACAACACTGATAAGACTATCACAGAGTTACAGCTCAGTACAGTTGTGATATTGATATGTTGGACAAGGTAGTGTTGGGACAATACAAGGTCATCTCAGACACACCAATACAATCACAACATCAGGTCAACGTACAACACTGATAAGACTATCACAGAGTTACAGCTCAGTACAGTTGTGATATTGATATGTGGGACAAGGTAGTGTTGGGACAATACAAGGTCATCTAGCCAGCTATAATCAAACCATCTTTACTAATCAATTAAACCTGTTTATCCGTTTCAAATATACTTAACGATTACTCACGGGTTTGCCTTCGTTAACAATCGTTTTAAATGGTGATCTGTGTTCAAGGATAATGGATTCTCCATGGTAATTCGCTTTTCTTTTACTACCTGTGATTTTGTAGTATCACTACAATGAGAATGAATGTCTGGATGTGATAAACAATTCTTGTGATATAATATTGGATTGAGTACGTGGTATATATAATTGTAAGATACCAAAAAGGATGAACCGTATAATCAACTGGGTGCTATCGTGCTGTGCAACAATTATTGTCACCGGGGGGGGGGGGGGGGTTATAGTATGGAAACAATCATGTTAAACATGTCTTGACTAGTTTTTGTTATTTTACTTCGTTCACAATATTTAGGTGGTTTTAGGGGAAGAAATCTATCCTATCTACTTGACCATTACCTTTTAAATAATAGCTCAAAAGCTGATTAAGTTACATACATTAATAAAAAATGGGGGGGGGAACTTCCACTCAAACCACCTGAATATTTTGAACTAAATAACACGTAAGACTACTAAGGTTAGTTTTAGCAGTTAGGAGACAACCTAAATCTTAAAAATACGAGGGGGAGATACTTATTAGTAGGATGTATTCCAATTCACGGATAAACCATTTTTTAAACTCTGCCTCTGTCCAAGATAGGGTAGGAAGTATCTTCGCCTAGCCTGGAGTCTAGGAATCTTGGCAACCAAAGGGAGTAAGATCGTTCACCTCTAGACGAAACGGAAGCTCACTTGCTGAATATAAACATATTCGCGGTCGTCTTGTTTATTTACGTAGATTTATCAACCTCGTGAATCAGCTGATGTCAATTTTGAGGTTAGTTCTGTCAGGTTTTTCAAGGATATGAGGTCAATTGCTATTTGCTTCATTATTTTATCTAATTTGAAAACTTCCTTTGAACTACCGTTTGCTTTTTATCTGGTAAAGAGTAGAGGATGGATTGTAAAATGTAACTTAGAATGAGAATGAGATGAAACGCATTTAGTTGAGATACCACACTCAATAGTAATCACGTCAAAATAGGCTTTACATTCTACAGTAGGGTGATAGTTTACTGTCAAGTCATTGATCGTACTTGGCGCATTCGACATTCTATCACGGTCTTTAAACCATCACCTTTGACTATTAATACAACAATAGTCAATGCTATCAAGGATCATAAAAAAAAAACATTTAATTTTTAGATGATTCAGATCCGTTAACGTTATTCTTTTATTTATAGACCCACAATCGTAGGTTGGCACCCCTTTTATATCCAAATTCAAACAAATCTTCCCGTGTATAGTTTTGTCAACTTTGGAAGTTAAGTAAATAAACGACGGGTCACTAGAAACCTCTCCTTCAAATTACCACTGCCAATGCGGCTATTAAAATCTGCTTTTGCATTGCAAACGCTGTTTTTCCAACACACAATTTGGTATAAGTAGGTGTTGCTGTATATGTTGCAAACCACAAGTCTCACCTACCAATCATTAACTGGTTATGTACATTTTGGCTTTTAATGTAGAGGTGCGTCTCACACCTTAGCCCCCTCTACTTCGACTGAGAGGTTATTTAGGGAACTGTCCACTCAGCTGTTGCCAATTTTCGATCAAAGTGTTCGCGTGAACAAAGGATTCAAATTATTAGTCTAGATTCTTCAAACCTTTTTTGTTTTGAACAAGAAAATTTATAGTAAAGCAACGGCAAGAAGTATATTGCAGCAGCCTGCTGATTTGCAGCAGATAAAACACACTACCCTTAGTCTTGTGTCGGCTAGTCTATGTTTGCAGAGTTTCACAGACGAAACAAAATGGAAACGCAGAGAACACAGCTGATTAACATATTCTCTCAACGCGGAATAAAGATTGCGCGGGAGGGAGTCCAGTCCGCGTCATCGAGTCCACCCACGCTTCCGACTCCGAGTAGACGAGGAAACGCTGTCATAGAGTAATAACTCTTACAGTCCTTGAGATAACATGTACTACAAATAGTACAAACGCACTTTAGGTACGATAGTTGAGATGTGGACCAGGCAACACATACCATAGAGTAATAACTCTTCTTACTGTTCTTTGAGATTACAGAGTACATCATGGTGGAAGGAAAATATAAAGGTGTGCTATTCCCGTCATATGCTGACGTCACCCAGATTGCAAACAAACACCTGATTGTATTGCAACATATTATAAGTATATATTTGTTTTGATTTGATTGTTATTGTTTTTGAAATTTTTCTAAATGGTTAAATTAATGGTGTTTGCAATCTGAGTGACGTCAGCATATGACGGGAATAGCACACCTATGTATTTTCCTTACACCATGAGAGTACATACACATCCCAGTGACGGCAACAGCAACGTAACAGCATAGATAAAAGGAGTATAGAGTAATGTCTACTCCTTTTATCCATGGTAACAGTGACCAGGGACTAGGGAATACCATAGAGTTATAACTCTTACATTGAGGTAACACAGAGTACAAACCCACTTCAGTAACGGCAACAAAGCGAACACATATAAAAGACTATAAAGTAATAACTCTTAGTCCTTTGAGATAACACAGATTACAAAAACACTTTTAAACGAAGAAACCTGCTACGAAACGTGGACCAGGTAATGCCACTGGGCTAGAAATATGCTATATGTGGAGGTAGCATTGGCACGACAACTCAGCTAGAAAATCGAGACGCTTTGTTATGTCGTTTTGTTACTAACTAGGGAGATCAGCTCATTGGCTCATGGCTTTATACAATCCCCCATTCCTCTAGTTCAAATCAAATGCTCTAAGTAACGTAGGCCTACTTTATCAATCACTTCCCCTTAGTAGAAATGGCGGCCAACATATCTCGCAATCCTATCATTCAGTGATACCCCTAGTAGTGTATATCTGGCGGCCGTGCTCTAACTCGTGGGTAACACAGACCATAGAGTAAATAGCTTATAAAGTCCTTGTGTCAACACAGAGTACAAACACACCTCGGTGACGGCAGCAGTAGCATGCTAATAGGCTGTTTATTGTTAATTTCAAGGTCAGACATTCCCATTTACACTTTCAAAGTTAATGGTTTTCAGTGTTTATCTTGGAACACAGATTCACCTCTGAGTTAAGATGAAAAAGCTAAGCTGATAAAAAAAAATAACAGAGTTTTTCAGCTTTAAAGTTTTCCCGGGAATTTAGTAATTCTTCAATCTAGTCAAGATTTAATTCCTACAGAGATTTAATGATTGGGCTCTCCAAAAAAAAAAAAAAAAATTGGATGGAAGATAATTAATTAATTATTGTAATTGCCCTAACTGTTATCATATCATAATAAAACAATTAAAATTTAAAACACTTACATTGTAACCTTTCTACAGTATACTGTTGCCTATAAATGAAACTTTTCACTCATTGTATATTTTAACAATTGATTAATATACATGTTGTTCCATACCTACTGTCTGGAACAGCTGTTAAATTTACTGTTTACTTATATATTGTTTACAATATTTATATTCAATTCTAGAAAGTTTTAACTTTGACTATTAATAAGTTAGAGTTCAAGTTATACTCCGTTTTAGAATGTAATGTTAAAGTAAATTTTCTGATCTTACCACCTCAGTTTTTATTCAATTTATTCCAAACACAACAATAATATAATAACTTCTGTTTACATTCCCCCCATATCCTCTCCATTAATTACAACCACTAATTGAAAAGGAACACAAATTTAGAAGACAGAGGGGTGTGATTTGACTATACAGAGTAATTGTAACTCATTATTTGATGCAACTCTTGAAATATATTGTTAAGATATGTGATTGTCTGTAATTTCAAAAAATGTCCTCTGTTTTTTTTACAGCTGTGCTATTATTATTAATACAGTTGCTATGCCATAAAAACATTAATATGGGGTTTTTAGATGTGAGTATAACAAGATGTCTTAATACAATACTTTCCTGAATCAACAGTCATTTTCTTTAATTTCAACATATGTATGGGAGAGAGTGGATACTTAAATACTTTTTCAATGAAATGGCTATGGCTGAGTACATAACTAAAACACGCACAACCATTCCACTTTATTTCATTGTCTAACATCACCCTCTCAAGTTGACTCTTGTTATAGTGCCCAGGAAGTACCTGCCCCATGTGTTGTACCATCACAAGCTGGCCAAGAGTCTGGTGGGACTGCAGACCCTGGTTGGTGCAGCGGTCATTACAGTGGCCTCCTGGATATACATGTACACACCCAGCCTCAGCTTCCGGGATATACCCTTCTGGAGTGGCATTCCTGTAAGTTTCATGATGGTATGACTTCTGGACCATTTGAGTTAAAACTAAGATAGGTTTAGATTACCCGATTGCTGTCAAAACGATCCTTGGTAGTTTACAACTACAAATGTTTTGTCCTGCGGATGGAGCACATCATCAGGTCGGAATGTCTTAATGACCCCTCATGTGGGGTTCTGCAGGAAATTGAAATAAAACTGAAAATAGATTAAAGGTAATAATTTAACAATGAAAATAACTGAAAATGTAAGGCTCCTTCAGACATTCTAAAAGGCGTTGTCTCTCCATCAGCCAGAAGACAACACCACAGTCCATAGATTGGTGGTTTATAATCCTCAAAGAAATCCAAAGCATACCCAATAGCCGCTTTGCTATTGAGATGTGACAAACATCTGGCAATACTTTCAATCAGGCTATGTATGGTAGATTTTTTATGCTGAATATTTGAGTTACCTATTCAACAATTCTATGTTTTCCGCAGCTCCTGTTATCGGGGATTCTTGGGCTTTTGTTGCTATGTTGCTGTCACAAAGACTACCCTGGCTACCCATTTTCCTGCTGTCTCTTCAGTTTTAAGGTAAGGTCAAATGGTGTAAGTGTAACTACCAAACAATCTTTTTTTCAATTCCACTTACGAAAGACATTTCAGCAAATATATTTGTGAAGAAGGAGTGGATACATTACCACTTCACCTAGGAATTAATAGAGGCAGTGTTGAGTATGATTCCTTTCTACTTCTACACTCATCCTTCCCTTCCTTCACTCATTTCCTATCCTTTATTCTAAAGCGTGAGTACGGACAAATTTTTTTCTTTCGTCCAACTTGGACGGTCCGAGGATCATTGATTTTTTGGTTTAATATGGGGTATTTGGCCATTGGTCACGAGAAATCGATTTGAGTTGGTCACAAGGCTGGGAAAAATTCAGTTTCCGTCCTATTTTTGTAGATGAAGTTAACTAAACAGCTGATACAGGTTATTTTTATTGTCATAATTTGATTTGACGTGTATGTAGTAAGTTTGTACCTGTTTGGACTAAACGTTTGAAAGAATAGTTATATTTAGTTTGGTTTATTAGATACACTAGTAGTGTGTACCTGTTGCTCGAATTCGAGCAATCGTGAAGTATCATAGGCGTTATCTTAAAACGAATAACAGTAATAATTTCTGATGACTTAAAAGATTCGACTCTAAAGATTATGGAAAATACTCAAGATGTACATAACAGATTGATATAATCAACATTTCTTGTAATTATTTTATCATTTTTCAAAAGTTGATCTTGTTTTTTATGTTTTTTTTTTTAAATCTCTTACTCATAGACGCATTAGGTTGTCCATAATAACAATTATAAAAAAAAACATTATTTCTATTTCTTCTACTTAGTGGTGTTCTATGACTTTCCTATGTTTCCATGATTTGCAAATCGGCTCTCTCAATGATTGCTCAAGAAATGCAGCAAAGTGTTAATTCGGTATTCTTTTTAGCATATCAAATTGTCAAGGCTTTCTATCGCTTTTACCATTGTAAAATATTTACACCAACACAAATTCAAAAATAGTAAATATTTCATTTCAACCAGGTCAGTAAAGGTTTGCAGCACATGTTTAAATCGCAACTAAAATATTAACGGCAATTAAATTGTCCAGCTGATCATATTGTAAACAAATTTGTTCTTCATAAGGATAGTATTGGAACTTAAAAGCCACTGGGGCAGCGCCCAAGGGACTTTTTCAGAAATGTAAGGTCAGTTTGCAAATCTACACACCCAGACAAACATTTTGGTATATGATATGTGGAGTTAAATCTTAAACAAAAAAGCCTTATTGTTCACAAAGTTTCATGTAGCGTATTAATAATATAGATAATATAGATTAGTGTTAAATGATTTCTAGGTTAATTTTCAAGGTTAAGAATGAAACTCAAAAGACCTCTGAAGTGAAAATATTTACAGAAACTGCGAGGGAGGGAGAAGCTACAATCGATCGTCGGGAAACAAATTTTTCAACAATTGGTCGTCTACAACCGATCCAGTTCCAGCTAGCTCATAAATCTTACCAAATGTCTCAGAACCTCGATCAAATCAAAAAATGAAAGTAGAGAAATAATTTCATATCCTTTGGCTGAGCACAATGATGAACAACGGGCTGATCATCTTTAGCAGGAATGTTGTCAAATCACTGCTCGACATTTGTCAGCGCACTCCAATCCTTTTCCTTTATGAAGTCGCCATGTCAGCAGATGAGAGATATTCTTGAAGAAGCATGTGACAACCAAATTTCAAGTGGACAGTTTGAAGATCTGAAATACCTTGCTATCCTAGCTCCACTTAATTAGTTTTGTTTACATTCCACGAATCACCTTATATTGAAGCAAGTCCCATGTTAAAAATACAATTCAGCGCCATCAGTTTCTTATAAGTCTAGCATTTGCAATGATTATACACAATAGCCAAGATCAAACTATGCAATTGGTCGGTGTGATCCTGCTCACCTTCATGCATGCTATGCTTTACATGACAATGGCTTTCTCTAAGGGTTAAGAACCAAACCTTGAAAGTGGTTTTACTACTATTAAATCCTACAAATAACCTACAATGTAGTATGGAAAGAAGACATAAATAATCATTCAAATGCTCCTCTGATCCCATCATACGAACCCAATCGATATGGAAGTTGAAACGTAAAACATTATATGGATTGCAATGTATTAATAGGTTTTTAAAAATGTTTTATTGGAATCACCAACAAATGTGTTAACATTAGCCTATTTACATAATAAATATTAACTTGTTAAGCCAATTAACTTATCTGATAAATGTAAATCAAATCCGAGCAAAACTTGGTCTCCCGGTACTTTGGGTTAAAATATGCACATAGCGTTCTCATCTCAAATAAATATGAAAGTTCATACCCCCACAAACAAACACCATTCAAGTTTTTCAAGTGTTAAAGGTATTTTTATTGCTACCTTGTCCAGTGTGTTCACCCTAGATGCGAGTTTACTGCTATAGTATGCTGTTTAGTATGATTCATGAGTATTCCAATATTTTCAGGTGGTAAGCGTGACAGTGTCAGCCCTAGCAGCAATCGGCTGTTTTTGCGCAGCAACGTTTGCGTTAATACATCTGCTCTCCCTGCAGCGCATGACTTGTGAACCAGCCGACTCTTTGACATCCATCTGTGTCTGTCGAACAAACAACACAAACTACGTGGACGAACGACTCTACCCGGACCTTTCCTGTCCTAAGGTAATATTGTTGTCCTTTTCTGGCTATGTAGGCATGAGGTATGTGGATGGTGAGAAAGCATAGATCTATCTTTGGTTGGAATTGTACTGGTATTAAGTACAAATTGGGAAAAAGAATGTAGCAATATTCTTGAAAAATTGTTCTAAAAAAAATCCGTAATAACTATAATATTTAGTCCTCCTACTATTTACATACCCTATTTTAAACTTGATTTTCCTTGCGCCCCATGTCTGAGCCCTAGAACAATTCTCTTGAGTTCTTGATTTTTTCTTATTCTCCTTTATTCTTCATCTTTGACAGCCCCATATGTTGCTCATGGTATTTGATCTCAAAAGTTATTAATTTATTGTTTTGTTACCTTCTTACTACTAATTTTTCATACTTCCGAGCCATAAAGGGCTGCTGGTCTATAATAGTGTTTAAAACGACTTCTTTAGTTGACCAATAGTAATCAGAAGGTTGCTGATTGACCTTGAAAAGGTCTGAAGCTTTTTTATGGCTCAAAACTGAAACAGTCTGTCCTTACTGTTGGGCTTTAAACAAAATGCTAATGGCTAAAGAACCAGCTGATCTTAGTCAGTGGTCAGTCGCAAAGCTACACAGGTCCACTCTTACCTCACCCTGCATGCATATTCAGCTTAAAACATGTAGGCTACAAAAAGTATGTCTACATTTTTTGTAGAGTGATGACATTTGAAAAGAACCACTTGATCTTGAATAGAAACAAAGCAGTTGTTGAACTACAGTATACTTAACAGCTCTTCACCTTAGCTTTAAAATATGTCCCTTTGTGTGTAGGGATTGTATGTATATAGATATCATCGAATACACTGTTGCAGGTACAGAATATTCTGACATTCCTACTGACTACCTCTGCTTCGTTCAACCTTGTTGGCGGTGTGATAGCCACTTGGTACCTCTATCTTCACTGGAGCAGTCGTTATTCTTACGTCTACTCGCAAGTTCGCACCAACGAGCACCGGCCAATGGTCATCTCAAACAAACTATAACCTCGACTACAAAGACTGATAATTTTAATTTGTAAATAATGTACAAGAACATAGTTTTTAGTTTTAAGTTTGCTAAAGATAATAGGAAACCAATTTTATAAGAGTTGACTTTTTTACCCTTCCCTTTCCTAGTGATTTTATACCTCAAAGCAGCATATGTGGGTTAACAATACCATTTACTTTTTGAAGGTAGACCAATTGGCTTTAAGCAAGGTTACATGTTTGAAGTACATTACCATTAAACTAATTTATGACAAGTTTATAAGAGATTTACCTTTTTAAGATTTTTTTTTTGGAGAGGTGGGAAAATACATTTATGCACACAGGTGGCTAGCCTTTAATGTGGTACTCCTACATGTTTAAGGCCCATAGAATACCCACTAAATTCACTGTTACTCTTCGGACACTAGCCTGGGAACACTTGTCACACTTCATCAAAACTAGGACGAGTTTGCCTTTGCCCGAAGTGCTTAATCTGTTTCTAGACGTTCATTTCTTACACGATCTAGACCATCATCCAATCTAGATCGTTCTTTTTCACTTGAAGGATATTCCGAACAAAGTGTGACCAGCAGTCCCAGTTGTCCTCACCCTCCAGCAAGGTCTCACAAATCGATTCAACCGACAGCACCCCAAGATGTTGAGTGACCTCCCGGCATGGCATATAACAATCGTGGACAGCGGAAAAAAGTGTATTCCGTGTCGTCGAGAATGCAAGGGCATCAAGTGCAGGAACGACTGAAAATAGCCGTGAACTGACAAGAACTGCACCGTGCCACCGTTCCACCCACAGTTGGACCTATCTGATGAGTCTAGCAGTCCAAGGACCTCGAGTCTCCCTTTCCCAGCTTTCTTGCTGGGAAAACCATAGGTGTGGCTTATGGTTTTCTCAAAAGTTCAGATACTTCTTAGCTTTATTTTATAGCCTCAATGAGTATTTAGGTTTGCTGCTACAGGGAGGGCAAAAATGTGTTTTTTTTAAATGGAAATGATAGTGTATTGTGAAATAAACAAATTTGCAAATTTAATTAAAATATATACATAAAAAAGCAAAATACAACATTTTTATTTTTCTCCATAAGAATAACATGGGAATTTTAATTTACCCTTTTTTTATTTTCTCCCTAACTGTCAAACATACAACAATGCTTTCATAAACTAAACTATTTGTTTTTTTATGCCCTACAAAATGGTTTGGAGTAGTGGTATTAAATTAAGTTATAATATATATTATATTAAAATTATAAGTTATTATATTAAAATTATTAAGTATTAATAGCTTACTATAAAATAAAAAAAATTTGCCAAGTTTGATCAAAATTTATTCATAAACAAGCAAACTACAACATTTTACAATATGCTCCATAAGAATAACATGGGAATTTTAAATATACAATTTTTTGAATTTTCTTCATTACCAATAACAAAATCACTTTGATATACTAAATTATTTGTTTATGTAAAAATTGTTATGTAAAAACAGCAATGATCTGCAGTCCGAACTAACCACAGTCCCAATTAGTTTGGATTAAAGAGGTTCTACATACATTTAATATTAGGATAAAACTAAAATGTAAAATAATCTATATATTAATAGGCAAGCAATAAGCTTTAAAACCTTTTTTCTCAGCTCGTGTGCATCACAGGGAAAATCTACGCATACTGTTAGAAAGATATTTTCCTGTAGAAGTGCAGAATTCCTTTAAAAATTCAAATAGGCTCAAATATAAGCACAAAAAATAGATTTGAAATTAAAAATAAATTAACATGGGCTTTATGGGTTGCCATGCTGGTGACGAAATAACAACGAAATATAAACAGAAAATCAGAACAAAAGGAAGAAATTACAATCACATGTTTTATTTACAGTTTGGGTGCAAATAGAGGAGCCTGTACCTTTACATTCCATCCCCATTGTCACCACTTTTTTTAATTAAATTCGTCGTAGTTGATGTGAGCCACCAACAGATTGCTCTGGTCTAAAATGACTAATTTCTGTCGAATAGACGATGTTTTTTTACCAAGTCAAACTTATGGAATGACTTATTATGAGCTATAGCAACTGTTATGACCCATCTACTTTGTCAGTAACAAAAAATAAGGTAGAAAAAAATTTACTCGCATTTGGTGACTGGATCACACAACCACATGTTTTTAATTTAAAAAATGGCGACAGCTGGTCTATATAGATGGGATGTCTACTTCAGTATCCAATGGTCAATTTGTGTACATCACATGTTTTTGGTTGAATTCTCGACCACTGGACGACCACTAGTACAATATTAAAAGCCCCAGTTCATGGAAGGTTCATGACTCCAGGCTCCAGGTTAAATGTTTTAAATTGTTTGCAGACATGAGCACATAGTACAGGTAAAATAATACAAAAACACTCCATATAAACAACAAAATTTGTACATTCATGAAATTTCACCCGTGAGTTACTAATAATATGAGAAATGAAGATCCGATGAGTCCCCAAAATTTTGGGTGTCCTAAGGCCCTTTTTGGGGCCCTTTTTGATCCGAAGGGCCCTTGTTCGTGAATAATTTTGTTTTTACGTTTAAGGTCAAGTGAGGTTTGGTTTTCGATGGTTTTAGTTATTTTAAATCGATTGGGACTAGTTTTAAGTGTATTAAACCACTCCATACAAGGTTTTTCAAAATGTTATTACTTTTTACGATATTTAAACATCCTACTATCCTACTTCCTACTAATATTATAAATGAGAAAGTTTGGATGTATGGATGTATGGATGTATGGATGTATGTTTGTGACAAGTGAACGCGAAAAATACTGGTCGGATTGGGCTGAAATTTGGCATGATGATAGCTCACATTCCCGATTAACATATAGGCATATTCTTATTTCAAAAATCCTTTCGGGCTCCGCCCCAGTGGCTCTGGAGTTTCCCATGTTAACCTTATGAGAAATGGAATTATTGAATCTTAACAGCTGTTTCAATTAAACAAGTTGGTTCTGTTCTATGATGTTCAATAGCATTAAAGTTACAAGGATTACCAACAGGGTGCAGCACTATTATTTCTTTTACATTTATGACAACAGCTAATTTGCAACCAAAAGGTGAGTGAGCGTAGCGAACGAACTTCAACCTGGAGGCGAGTTAGCGTAGCGAACGAGCTAACCTGAAGGCAAGTGAGCGTAGCGAACGAGCTAACCTGAAGGCAAGTGAGCGCAGCGAACGAGCTCCAACCTAAAGGTGAGTGAGCGTAGCGAACGAGCTCCAACCTAAAGGTGAGTGAGCGTAGCGAACGAACTTCAACCAGGACGTGATTGAGCCATGCGAACGAGATAATCTTGAAAATTAAGAAGTTAAACGGGGCAAAGCCCGCGGGTTACAGCTAGTTTATTCATATAGTAATAAAATTAGTTACCTCCATGCTCTATATAAAAGGGGATTATTGAAAATAACTGTAATTCTTTACTATATAAGAGGGAAGGATCACAAGGAGTAAAAGAAAATATTAAATACCCCCGTCACAGCAAACCTGCAAACAAAGCGAATTTTCATTTGCCCGATTTTCAATTAACTAAAATGGCATTGAGTTTAACGATTACCTAGGTTTGCTGCTACAAGGAGGCTAATAAAGTGTGTTTATAGTAAAATATTAATAGCCTAGTATAAAAGAAATAAATTTGACAAGTTTCACTAAGACATATCTATAAACAAACAAACAAAATCATATTACACTATTCTCCTGGAATTTTAAATTTACACTTTTTGAATTTCGTTTGTAGCTAATACACTTACAAAACATGTTAATATACTAAATTATTTGTTTTCTTTAAGCTCTTTAAATGTTCCAGAGAAAAATTGGGAAACTTTGTGTTTTGAGGGTCAAAGATTACAAATTTATACCATATAAAACCCTGTTCCAAGGACCGATTATGCCGGTTTCATTAAAATTGAACCAAAATTACTCGAGTTATCATGTTTACGGACACGTATATAAGATGGATATATTATATTATATATATGTATATAAACACATAATATTTTGAGTTATCTAGCAACCCTCTGAAAAGCAGCCCTCTAAGGGTGCTTTAGGCTTCTGGGGGCATCAAAATGAAAACGTAAATCGGTTTTGGGTCCATGTTTTACCATAAGACCTTCGGTAATAGCTTATTTCCTATATGGGAAGTTCGCTAAAAGGGGATGGATTAAGTTTTACACTACAACATAATAACATAGGTTACTACGCAAAAATGTCAACTTTTAAGGTGGTGTGAATAACCTTTCAATGTGTTTTTCATGTAAATCTATTAAGACCAATTTCAAATTGATATGTATTTTTCTCAGGTAGTTATTTTTTTACATTTATTAAAAATTAAAGCAATTGTATTTGTATAAAACCTTACATTACATATTAAAATGAAATACATAAACTAAAGCTATTTTTCTACAATTTCCGTAGTATCTTTCTTTACAATTTCATCATCACAATAATTATTCTCAGACGACTCATTAACACTTTTATTATTCTTAGCAACTTGTCCATCTTTACTGATTTTGTCCAAGTTGGTGTTCAAGCAGGATTCCCCTTTACAAACCTTGCATATTGCAGAACAGGCAACACCAATCTTAAAGGACGAACAATGTGATGCACAAAAACACCTTTCATACATACTGACGTTTGCAACTTGTATCTTAATTTCCTCAAAATTATTTTCAATCAATACAAGTACGGTTGTCTTTCTTGGTTATGACGACCAGGACAACACTAAGACATCAGAGCAGCATTGTCGGTACAAGAATTTTTGTCCTGAACAATGGGAAAGAGGTTTATGAGGTAAAAATTGGGTTTTCACATTTATTTCACCCTCAAAACACAAAGTTTACCAATTTTTCTCTAGAACATTTTAAATAGATTAAAAACAAATAATTTAGTATATTAACGTTTTTTTGTATATGGTTATTAGTTACGGATAAAAATACTAAATTTGTAAATTTAAAATTCCCATGTTATTGTTGCGGGCTTAACGGGTTCTTTACAATAAAAACTTGGCGATTTTATATTAACTATTTATTTACACTATTTACTCTTTATTTACAAATATTAGAATTACCTAACACCTAACTACCCCTATCTAAACCTAGCTAAAGCCTATTCTAATTTACAATGTTTCTACTTACAGCTAGCCTCTACAGGATTTATCACTACCTCTGTTACAACACTGTCACTATACTGTCACTAGAGACACTACACTGTTACTGTTACTCTTACTG